TAGTAATCACAATCTATTAGCTTAAAAATTTCCTGATAATAATTTATATATTACAAAATTATATTCTTGATATTTATATAAGGTTCTATTTTTTATATACCCAAATTTATTATTTATATTCCTCTTGCAAATTTAACTTTTTAGATCAAATATAGTATAGATTATCTATTTTAAAAACTATTTAATAATCATATAATTTGTTATATATAAAATTTTAATTATGAGTCAAATCATTGACATACCTAAATTTTATATATAAAATTTAGAAAAATTTTGCTTTTTATACTTATTTAATAATAAAAATGTTATCAGTTTGATTTCATAGTTGTAGTTTGCAAATAAGTAATGCATATCATTTATTTAAAATAGATAATTAGAAGTGTCAATTAAACTGACACTTCTAATTATCTATATAATGTGCATTACTTATAAACAAACAGTAAAAATCGTTAAAAAATTGACTAACTTCGTGGTTAAGATTATTTATCATTTTATTATAAACTACTCTTAAAATTTTATGAAGAGATCTCTAAATGGTAGAGAATTAACAAACTATAACTGTGAAATCAAACTAATAACCTTTTTATTATTAAATAAGTGTAAAAAGCAAAATTTTTCTAAATTTTATATATAAAATTTAGGTATATCAATTATTTGATCCATAATTAAAAATTTTACACATATAATCTGTATGACAAATCGAGTGCCTGTTAATTTATTAATTTTATATAGTTATTTTATTGTTTTTATATTATAATTAATATTTTAATTAATATTAAAAATCTAATTTAAAAATTATATTATAATATATAATAATTAATTTAAAAATTTTTTAAGATTTTTATTAAGAGATAAGCTATACTATATTTGATTCAACTTTTTTTAAGCTTTAAGCAAAGATATCTCAGCAACCACCAAGCCAAATTTAATAAACTTAATTTTTTTTGAATTCTATAGCTTTATAGAATTCAAATAAAAAGTTTATTAAATTTGGCTTAGTAGTTACTAAGATATCTTCACTCAAAGTTTGAAAAAATCAAAACATCTATTAAAACAAATTATACAAAATTTTCTTTAAACTTTGAGTAAAAATATCTTAATAACCACTAAGCTAAATTTAATAAACTTTTTTTTGTTCAAATTTTATGAATCTAAAAAATTTAATTGGTAATTCACCAATCAACCAGAGAAAATCTACAAATTTTTATAAATAAATTTTACTATTGAGCTAAATGTAGAATGCACCAATCTAAAACCTTTTTTTACTAAGTAAATCACTCTAGGGCTTCATCAAGATGCATTTAATAGTAATAAGAATGTTAAAATTGGCCTGGTGGTTTTTGAAAAATCTTTAAAAAACTTTTTGCTTAATATAAATTTCTTTAAAACTGATTTTTTTTAAAGAAATTTTATATATTAGCAAAATGTTTTTTAAAGATTTCTCAAGAACCACTGGGCCAATTTTAATGTTCTTACTATTATTAAATGATCTTAATAAGCTCTACAATTTTTATTAGAAGCCCAAAAGTGATTTACTTAATAAGAAAAAAAGTTTTAGATTGATGCACTTCACCTTTGGCTCAATAGTAAAATTTATTTATAAAAATTTGCAAATCTTCTCTGGTTGACTGGCAAATCACCAATTAAATAAAAAAAAGTTTATCAAATTTAATCTAATAATTATTATCTTAGCTCAAAGTTTCAAAAAAATTTAAAACATATATTAAAAAAAAACTATACTACAATTTTTTCTAAACTTTGAATAAAAATGTCTTAACAATCACCAAGCCAAATTTAATAAACTATTTTTAATTTAAATTCTATGAATTTAAAAAAATTGACAGCTTATTTTGATAAATATTTTAAATTTTTTTTTAAAACTTTGAGCAAAGATAACTCAGTAACTACTAGGCCAAATTCAATAAACTTTTTTTTATTTGAATTCTATAGATACATAGAATTTAAACAAAAAAAAGTTCATCAAATTTGGCTTGGTAGTTGTTGAGATATCTTCGCTCAAAGTTTAAAGAAAATTTTATATAATTTGTTTTGATAGACGTTTTAATATTTTTTCAAACTTTGATTGAAGATATCTCAGTAACTACTGGGCCAAATTCAATGAACTTTTTTTTATTTGAATTCTATGAAGTTATAGAATTCAAAGGAAAAAAGTTTATCAAATTTGCCTTGGTAATTACTGACTCAAAGTTTTAAAGAAAGTTAAATCTGCAGGGGGTATAAATAATAAATTTAAGGGATATAAAAAATAGAACCCTTTATGTAAACCACTAACCATTATTGTAACAAAAAAAGTAATACTAACTATATACATCAAAAAGTAATTTAAACGCACCTTGCTTTAGCCATCCCCTTTTTATAGATATTCTTAGACATCTCTACCATCATTATTTGACCGAACAAATAAATATGAAGCCCCGGGGCTTAACGGATCCTGTTTTCCTAGTTTATAATAAAAAAATACAGTAATAAAAATTTATACTACCTACAACTCTAAAAAGAGATTATTATGAAAATCATAGTAATCTATTTTTAGAGTTGTAGATTTTCTTTTGACAATGCTCATATATATAGTTTGTACTGTATTCAGCCATTGGTCATATATTCAATAAAGCTAACGCTAAGACAAGATCCTCAAAAAAAAAAAAAATTTATTGTCCGGTCACGCATATCGAAAAACCAGTAAAATTTTGGAATAAATGCAAGAATTTGGATATCTCGAAATTTTGAATTTTTTCAAAATTTTTACGTTTTGATTATGCATAACTAGCACAGAATTTTAAGCACTTCAAAAAAATATATATGTATTAATCATAATATTACCTTTTATTAACAAATATACATAAATATTTTCCAAACATTTTAAATAAATAATACAGTTTCGTTTCGGCAATTATAAACTAAATCATCAAAAAACACAAACCCCTCAACGTTTAACACTTGATCAGATAAGAATTTTGGAGATCTGATTGATGAACTAGTATAACTGTAAATTATTTTTATCGTTCAGGAAAGGTATGTATAATTATCTTTCAGCACGATTAATAATTTCTTCCATTAAACTTCGGGCTTTTTCGACGCCTTCTTGCGATCCAGTTACAATTACAACATCATCACCTTTAGCCTTCGGAACTTCAATCTTACATCCACTTTCATTTCGAATACGTGAAATTGTTCGACCATCACGACCAATAACATGCCGATGATATTGTTGAGGAATAGTCATATAGCCAGTATGAGTAAATCGACGCTAATTTTTAGTAGAAAATAATTAAACATATAGATCGTAAATAAAACTTTTAAAAGAGTGGACTTACTGCTTCTTTTACCGCTTCTTTTAATAATTCATTAACATATTCCTCCGCACGTTCAACTTGAATTTTTTCACCTTTCAAATTCCAAATAATATCGCCAATTGCATTATCCTCATTTTCAACTACTTCCCATCCAAGTTCAGCTTTATTTTCGGAAATTTCGTCGTCATCAATTCTTTTAGTAGAAATTCCATTCACAATGCTCTTTTTAGGGTGATTTATTTCAGGCTGTACACCACCATCATCACAATCTAATGTAACGTGGAAATCATTTCGAAGTTTACGGGCGACGTTAGCAATCAGAGAATTATGGACTTTACGTGGGACGTTAATTTGAACATATCGAATCCTGGCCTGAAGAATAGTAATTGAAGTTAGAATTATTGATGTGTAAATAAATGAAAGAAGTGCAATCCTACCAAAATATCAGCCTTAGCGGCCTCAATATTTTCCGCTTTTCCTATAATCTTAACAGCCTCTTCACTATTTTCTATGTTATCGTTAGTGTGACTCACAGTAGGGGTATCATTATATGATCGAGAGCCAGGAAATTGAATAGTCACATTAAAGCGATTTTGGATTTCACGAAGCTGCGTACCATTGCGCCCAATAATGACAGGATGTTGAGCGCGTGGAATTTGAATAATACCAACTGTGAGGTTGCTCTAAACATAATTCGTTCGTTATAAATTTGGAATTTAATAACATACATACACATATAAATGCTAAATACCTGCTCTTCGACTAGCCTTTCCAGTTCTACCTTTATTTTTTCGACGAGTTCCTTATCACCTTTAAGGGTGACTTCATCGCTATTTGTACCTGGGCGAGGAAACTTTACAATACCTGTCTGGCCACTTTTTTCATCAGGGCCACCCGCCTTAGCAACAATCTCTCGAATTCGACTACCGCCGGGACCGATAAGGTATTTATGATATTGAGGATCAATATTCATTGTGATAGTTTTCTGATTTTCGAATTCTTTTACAATTCCAAGAATAAGTTCCTTTGCCTTTATAATTTCAGATTTAGTTCCATATACTACGACATTTACAACCTGTTGATTTGGATCATCATCTGAAGGTTCAGCTTGTCCAAGATCGATACGAGTTTTTGTCTCATCTTTGATTTCGGTGATTTTGACTCCATTTTTACCAACAATATGAGGAAGAAATTGAGCTGGAATCTTAAATTTCTCTGAATTATCATGATCTCTTTCGTAATCTAGCAGATCCATCAATTCTGCCTTAGCATCATTAACACCTTTCTTCCCACCTTTAACAATTACCTCATCAGGCTTTTGTGCATCAGTTGGATCATCTTCACCTTCTTCATTAGAATCTTTAGTCTTAGGGAATCGTATGTGAACACCGTATTTCTCTTCAAGACGTTTTACATAGCGGCCTTTCGTACCAATCAATGATTTGTGATATTCAGAAGGAATCTTTAGACGGACTGTAGTGGCATCCTGCAATTTGTCTACAAGATCTAGTATCCTGGTTTTCGCATCTTTGACATTGTCCTTCATACCTACAATAGTAACTTTAACATTTTCTCCAGGTGTAGTCTTTTTCTCTTCACCTTTAGCGCCTCCTTCGATATCGATCTTTACATTCCATTTATCCTTTAAGCGCGTCACATTAGCACCACCCTTTCCAATTACATGAGCAGAGTATTGTGCAGGGAAGGTAAATTCTTCAGTGTAAGAATTCATAAACTATATTGAAAGTTCAAGTAAATGTAAAGTTTTCAATTTAAACGTCATATCATTTGTGCTAGAGCATATTATATGGACAAACCTCGGTATGCTTGGCATCTTCGACAACCTTGTTAATTTCTTTAACTACCCTCTCAACTTCTTCAGTCGGACCTTTAATTACAACTATGTCATTAGACATTGGTGTTTGGATAAGCTTTTTGCCTTCAGCATTTGCAGATCGTTCTGCAGCACCTGTTCGAGAGGAACCAAACTTAACAGAAACAGGTGCATCACTACCACCAGTGATACCGTTAAGGGTGGTGCCTTTTGGCCCAATTATATGACGATGAAATTTTACTGGAATGGTAAGGGTTTGCGTTGCAAAATCAGACTATAATTATGTAAACCAAGAGAAATTTAATTATCTTTAAAATATAGTGCACAAATGAATATATACTGTTAGTACTTACGGCATCTTGGCCAGCTTTGACCAATTCTAATTTGGCTTTTTCTAAGATGTCTTTGACATACGATTCTTTCTTATCGATAGGAACTTCATTATCTTTGCCCTCAAAAACGATTAAAATGTCAGGACTTTCGTCCTTTTCATCAGGGACAATTATTTCGACACCGTAAGTTTCTTTAACACGCTGAAGATTTTGTCCTTTACGACCAATTATATGGCGATGAAGATGTGGCTCAATAGTTGCAATAGCGAAATGACTTGGCGACTATAATAGAGTAAATAAAGTCAAATTTGGCGCTTTCAAAATAATAATAATTTTTTAATAACACATACAAGGTTCTTAACAATCTCATTTACTTCTTTTTTTGCATTCTCTACATTTCCAAGATCTTTACCAACGAATTCCAATATTACATTCTTTTCCAATGCTGTACCCTTGGGAATCACTATCTGCACATTATTGTCTGATTCAATCTTTTTTTTACTCCTGTTACATAGATATTTTAATATATTTTTGGCATGTTCCAAGGGTTGATCGGTTTTGTGAGAAAGCGCAATGTCTAACGTTTCTATATGAACAGAATTAGCCTTATCTAACACAATTTGCAAAGCTGAAGTAAGTTTGTTCTGTGGACCTCGAATGGTAACGTTTTCAGATGGATCAGATAGTGCAGGTAGTTCCAAAGAGCAACCAGTAGTTTCTAAAATCTCTTGGAGATTCGATCCTTTTTGTCCAATAAGAAACTTATGCTGACGCTTCGGGATGTTAACACTAAGAATTCGTGTGGTGCTTTTCTATTCAATTAGATAAGATTAAACCATTGAAAATAGTAAATAATTAATTTTAATAGTTTGTTGCTTACTAATGTTGTATAGATTTCTTCAATGGCATCGATTGCATTTTTAATCGCATCTCGTTCGCCAGTAATAACGATAGAATCTTTAGAATGGTCTTGATTATCACCACCTTCTGCAGAAGCGTTATAAAATGGAACATGAATTTTTGTTCCAGTATCAATACTAATTTGATGAATACGTTGGTTGTGTGCACCAAAAATCAATGGGTAGAAATGATGTTCTATATGCGTAATACGATGGGACCGCTTTGTTGCCTGCACACAAATGGTTAAATTGTATAAATGCATCAGATAATACTACATATTCAGGTCATTCATCTCTGTGTATAAAGTGAATTCTTACTCTTTCGTTAACAATAGTAGAAATTTCTTCCTTGGCCAAGTTAATTCCCTTCGTATCGCCTTCGATTTTGACACTCATCATTTCTTCATCCTCATCATAGCCGAGTTCATTTTCTTCAATATTGTTTTCTTGACGCGGTGGAAGCTGAATGCGCGTTCCAGTTCTAGAAGTGATTGCTTGTAGTGTTTGGCCACGGGCTCCTAAAATGTAAGGACGAGCAGAAACTGGAATTTGGATAGTTTCTTCGCTCTAAGGCAGATGCTGATTAGCAACAAACAACTAAAGGCCGTATTGTTGTCTGACATAATGAGCAAAAATTAATCTTACTTTAACAGCCAAAATATCCAGTAATTCTCGCTTTGCTCTCATCACATCTTCAATATTACCTTTAATCAAAAAAGTAGTAGTGCCACTTTTTGTTGCGGTAGACATATCGATCTGGGTGTTTGTCTTATTTGTGATGCGTTTGACTGTATCGGCAATTGTAGTTTTATTACCGAATTCTTTCTTTTGCAATTGTTGGCAAGCAGACAATTCAAGTATCTCAGTGATGATTCCTGACTTTTTGACTGTAGATTGCTGACGAATTAGATCAGCACCAGAACGATTTCCCCATACAGAAGATTTTGTTATTGGGGCAGCTGCAGCTGAGAGTGAGGGAAAGTCTGTATCATAAGAAACAGAGGTAAGACCTTCAGTAGAGATGGGATAGTCAACCGTAGGACTATTCTCATTTTGAGTGTGTTGTTCTTGAAGTAATACAGAAGGTGGAAGTGCAGGGGGTATTCCTAGAGTTTCTTCCGAGAGACTGATAATAGTGGAAGGTTCTGAGGCAGACATTGTGGAATAAAATCAGTTGTGGGTTTAATCCGTTGTCCGATGACCGATAGATAATGACAGAGAGAAGGGA